CATTCCTTTGGAACCAAAAAAAAAAAAAAAATGTATCAGTCATTTGCACCCTCATATTTTAATGTTCAATACCGCGTGTCAAAATAATGTTACAAATTTTACGTCACGAGTTCTTACGATGCTTCTATTAAAGAAAAGAAAAGAAAAAGAAACAAAACGAACCATTGATTGTTCATCATTCGACAATTAAATAGTCCATTTCATTCGGTTTCAATCGGGTATCAATGAACGAGGAGAGAAGGAGCAAATGAAATAAAAAAAAAAACAAAAAGAAGTAAATAAAGAACATTAGTAAAGTGCACAAGGTACAATCTGTAAACAGTGCCATTTTCAGCAGATTTATGAAAGTAATAAAGTTACGTTCTGCGAGAAACGAATGTGATCTGTTAATGTTTCTAATTTCTATAGATAATTCTGCATTTCTGATGTGACGGAGATTGAAAAACCTCTGACGTTGTGTTGTAGGTTTTTTTTTTTTATTTTTATTGTTAACAGAGCGAAACAAACATAATGTTCATAGCAATTAGTAGTGTATACGTTTTGAAACATTTGTACCTCTGAAGCTATATGTTGTAATTGAAATTGTTAAATCTTTCATCGTTTCCAATGCGAGAAATCGATAAGGTTGCGTTTTTAATTTGTCAATTAACGTACGAAATTATAATTATACTACTTTTTGCGAACCGTGTGTGCGATACTTGAGTCGAAGATTTATTGTTTATACCATAACACGATTTCCGCCCCTTAGTTATGCAGGATTATGTGGATATACGCCCGTTAAAATGTTTTAATATTTTTGCAATATTACACACCGTCTTCCGGTACAATAATATTTGCATATAGCCTAAAGCGCATTAGTAAACAGTTTGATATATTGCGAAAGGGGAAAAAAACAAATATTTATTAATTAAGCTTGTCATGTATAGACATTGTTCTCTTACAGTGCAGAGGGACAAATTTAGGAAACATTTAACATAGATGAAAGAACGAAAAAAAAGAAACGGTATACTCGTACGATAATTGAAGCATGTGTATATTGCGATAATAGATATTTTACTAAAAACTGTTGTACGAACGAAAAAGAAATATTTTCTGAAACTTGAATATTTCATTCCCTTTAAAAAAGAAGGAAGGAAAAAAACGATACAAAACTGGCATATGATCAAAGATATATAACTTTTTAATATCAAAAATAGGAAGAAAGAAAAATGACACGAAAACTGTCGCTCGTACAACACAAACGACAGGGTGACCACAATTTAAATGCGATGTTCGAAACAAAACAAAACAAAAAAAAAATAGAGAAAAATACAATGTAACATGTTTATTGTAAAATTTGTATTCCTTAAGATTGCTTAGAGTTAAAATTAAATACGGGTTGTTGATAGGCAGATGTTGACTGCAAATATAAAAATAGTAAAATTAAACAAAAAGAAAAAAAAAGAAAGGAGAAGATAATTGTATCAGAATTCTTAAGTAGGCTTTGCCAGTGTGTTGGCACTATGCAACATCATTATACGATATATATTAGAATTACAATGTTACGACGTATTAGGTATATATATGAAAAAGGAAGTTGCTGTTAACTTTGTAAAAAAATTGTACATGGAAATTCATTTCTATGATGTGTAATACGATAACTCTCTGACGATCCTAATTATTTGAATGTTATCCCTTGAAGAATTGTACAAAATGTTATTTCAGATTTTCTGTACAATTTTGTTTAATAGTCCTATTTTTCCATACGTTGTCGTTTGTACAGAGGATCAGTTTGAATTGAAAACGGCTCAGAAATGAAGTAAAAACAGTTTGCACCTGCAAAGAAAAATATTAATTGGTGGTCACCCTGATAAAAGGATAAGAAACAAATTGAAACAATATTTGCAAGATAATAATGATAGATTTATAAAAGAATTCATGGATATCTAAGATTGTTCTGGTTGTGGTTACTCCTGTACGTGCATTTTATACAATAATAAGTGATTCTTTATATGCTGAACTCATATCATTGATCATTTTTCTAATGCATTTGAAGTTTATAACTATTGAAGAGTTATCTTAACCACATGGTATGCAAGAATTTACAGTGTTTAGCAGAGGCGGGCAAAATTCTGTAGCAAATAAGAAACAATGCAAATGATGTTTTTAAATAAATGAATGTTTAACATGTAAGATATATAAGCGTGAAATGAATGAAGAAAAGTAGTACTGTTTAAAGGTTCATAAATTTATTCATAATTATAGTATTCTTGCATCAAAACGACGGATTCGCGCATCTTCAAAACAATTATTTATCTTGATAAGTATTTTATTTAAGAATTAAATAAAGACAAATATGAAATTAAATTTTTATTAATTATCTTCACACAATTCGTGTAGTATGTAATATTTCCATATAAATATATAGCAGTTGAGTGTTGGTTTAATTTTGAATGTTTGTTCTCATAAATAGTATCGAGAGAAAAACTTGAAAATACAATTTTTAATATAACGAATGATGAAAAAAATAAAACGAGGTATTCGTCACGTTTAATAATTTAAAAAAAATTGATTCTAATCGAGTAGTGCCCGTTTCTGTGGAATACCAAAATAAAATACGAAATGTTGCAATCTCACAGTTACATTAAATCGACGTTAACAAAAAGGTGCACTGTCACCAGTAAAATGAACAGAAACACATACATACACCACCGATTAATGGAAGTATGAAAAACAACCAGAAAAATAATATAACTTTAAGACGATGACTGTATAGTATTATTGTCGTATACCAAGAAAAAAAAAAAACGTACAACAAAAAATTTTAATATAGCGTTTCGTATTATAACTCAATTTTTATAAATAGACTTTTCCATTCGACTTAGGAGATGAAATGTTGAATCGTGAAAACTCGCGATATTCCTTTTGCAAATGTAAAAAATATAAATATCCGAAGTTCTTTAATGCAATGTTGTACTTTACAATTGTTCTGGGATTTTAAATGTTTTCACGTAGTCATTTGTAAATGATGCCAGAAAAATATTTTGTCATCAGTATAATAATTCAAATGAAACACAAAGATATTCAACTTTCAATTGTTAAGCGAATATGTACAATCGTATTTTCCAAATCGAGTCGAATGGTAAATATTATATCGTATAGTTAGCCATATTTGGGTATTTAATAACTAATTGCAAAAGAAACATTTTGTGTTAATAGATCTTATATGTCGTTTAGAATGTCAGACAGTACCTTGTAGATGCTAAAGAACAAAGTGTTGTGTACGTTTATTGATACTTTTATTATGCATTAAATTGCATTTTACATATGTGTGCATCGGTTAATATAAAGTGTAAAATTGCTGAATCGGTTATTCGTCTCCTTTTTCTTTCTTTTTTCTTGTGATCAAAGAATCCAACGAAAGGAAACAATGAAAACATTTATGTACATAATTTTTGTATATAATTCCGATGTGTTCCAAGTATAATAATATTTTCTTATGAAAAGTTTTATATGTGTACTATTTAGGATATTTTCAAATAATTTTTTTTTTATATATATATATATCGAGATTCAAACTTTTACCATCCTTCAAGCATTTTTTTATATTCTAAAATTAATTACGTTGTGCAAGAGAACAGAAATTAAAAAAAAAAAAAACGAACAATTCGATCTTTTATAATTACTGTTTCATTTATAATATCACTGGATTTCATATAATGGAATATAATATAATTTTCACATTCCAAGTGAAGATTTTTTATAAAGTACAAAAGTAATATGGGCTTGCATTTTTGATGTTCATGTCCTGCCAAACCGATGCAATTATTCACAAACCAATATAATATACTGGTGTCTGCACGATGGTCAAATAAGATTTCATATCTGGTCGCATACCGAAAGAAAGACTATACTGAAACGTAAAAACAAAATGCAGTAAGAACTTTTCGTTGTCATTAACGATTGTAGGCGAATTCTAATGAATGTCAGTACAAATTGAATAATAAAGAAAAAAGAAGCATCATTTGTATGCAAATGACAAAAAAAAAAAAGTTAATATCGACGACTCGTATTTTTGGCAATACAATTTTAAATAACATATTTAAATTAGCGTAGTTGTAGTTAGAATGTTAGTAAATAAATTTTCTTCTAATATGCGTAATTTGTAGAACGAATGTTTATTATTGCTTCTTATGCTATTATTAGGTAGTGAACTATGAAAAAGAATATTGTAAATCAATAAAATTGATCATTTGAAAAATAAAGTATATTAATAACTTCTGTACCATGATGTTAGAAACGTAATTGTTATTTTAATAATTGGATATCAAATATTTAAGTTCGCTTGCGTTTATTTCATAGCTTAGATCAATTATCTTTAAACCACATTCATCTTATCAAAACATTTCTAGCAATTTAATTTTCATCTAATTAACCCTACTTTTCAACAAATTTGCATTTTATTCTGCTAAGCTGTTTAGCATTAACTATAGAACTACTATTCTAAAAATATCAATATCAAAAAAGTAAAAATTTTCGTTTATTAATTATTACTTGGATTCACAGTTTGTTACATATTATTTTATATTGCAAAATATGAATCATACCATTCAACGAGAAAAAAAGGTAGTGAAAATATTTTAAAAAATGAGACAGTATTTTATTACGATTGTACATTGTAAACATATACGTATATATTTATGCAGATTAATGCACTAACGTGTTAATTTGATGAGTGAGTCAGTCACCAGCATATTTGTATATAAATACGTAGTGCATATAATTTTCCATGTATTTCTATAAAGCATGTGATTCATACATTATGATATCATTGTTGAATAAATTTTAGATAGCGAGGTGTAACGCTATTAAAATAATTACAAACTTGTAAATTGCATAACAAATACGTTTATTCGTCAGAAGCTGACTAATCCCAAACGGTGTTACGAAATAACAACCAATCCTGTGATGTGTATCTGAACACAGTGCTGTCGCCTATCTCTTACAGGACCAAACTGCGTTTCTGAAAAAACACTAACGGACATCAGTTTAACATCGCTGGACGAAACTGTTGAAGTAGTGATTCTGTAAGAGAGTTACCGAAGAGCAGGTACGTTTACTTGTTTTTACGATGAAATAAACATAATGTAAAACACGTTTGTTTACATCTTTAGTCTTATCGTTTATAAATAACGTTTCTTACATTGAAAAGATACAATAGTTCTATGATGTTGATAGTTTCGTATATACATCAATATTACATGCACGCTGTTCGCCATTTTGTTTATTGTGTCTGCTTTTGGAGGGAAACTGATTATTATTATAACAGATTATTAATATAATTTGATTTTATAATATGATTCAGTAATTTTTACATGTATATGTTATAACTTAAAAAGGTTTGATGTTTTTTTTTACAAACAAGTAACCGCATAAGATAATGAACATTTCTTTTTCTTTTTATTGAGTATATGTATTTAAGAATTTTTTTCATATATGAGTCATTTGTTAGAGATTATTTAAAGTTTATAGCAATGAATTTTTGTTTCAATAGAAATGGCACGTACCAAGCAAACTGCACGTAAGTCAACAGGAGGTAAAGCTCCCAGGAAACAGCTTGCAACTAAAGCTGCACGTAAGAGTGCACCATCTACAGGTGGAGTGAAAAAGCCACATCGTTACAGGTAAAAATATCTAACAAAAATTTGATATGTAATGATATGAAAAATTATTTTTTTGTAGTTCTAACAATATCTTCTACTTTTCAGGCCTGGTACTGTAGCACTCAGAGAAATTAGAAGATACCAGAAATCAACTGAGTTACTGATCAGGAAATTACCATTCCAACGTTTAGTTCGTGAAATTGCACAAGACTTCAAGACTGATTTGCGTTTCCAAAGTGCTGCTATAGGAGCATTGCAAGAAGCTTCTGAAGCATACTTGGTTGGGTTGTTTGAAGATACAAATTTGTGTGCAATTCATGCTAAACGTGTTACAATAATGCCTAAAGACATTCAGTTAGCAAGAAGAATTCGTGGTGAACGTGCTTAAACAGTTCATACTTCGAATTTCTTTAAATTTTCTTTTCTCAAATTCATTTTGTTTGTCACATTCTCGAATATTCTTACACTTAAATTCATTGTAGCTGAGTTTCTTTTTCATAAGTCATTAATATAGATAACACTGCCAAGCCCTATGAGCTATAGAATGCAGAGATAAAGTATATCTGTCCATCATATCACGTAGTTTAGTTGAGTACATTTATGATTCATTAATAGGAGAATATGCAGAAGGCACAAAACGGAGTATGTAGTTTGTAACAGATAGTAATGTCACCTTGCATAATTCATATTTTACTATTATATGTAACTATAAGTAAAATAAGCAACATGTAAGCAATGTAATATGTAGACTAATATTTTGCAGAAAAAGCCAGTTCTACTCACTATTAGAATTACTTTGTAATTAACACAATTTCTAAATACAAATTTCTACATTTGCTATCAAATTACAGTTTAGAATAGTTCGAATTTATAATGTGTAAGATAATTCTTACATGCAAGTAAGTATAAATAGGGCTATAGCATTTTATGAAGGAAAGTAACTTGTAGAAAATCAAAATGTTATTGAATTGTGTACTAAAAGTGCCGTGATCTTATGTTAGCTGCATTTCAATTATTAGATTATCAAAATTAATTCGCATTTATATTTTATGTTTATAAATTAATTGCAAATAACAAATGTGACCATGAAATTACATTTCATTATTAATTACTTTATTATTTTTTTTAAATTATAACATTAGTAACAAAAATAATTTGCAACATTGTAAGTTAATGTAAATGATCTATCCAATTTTTTAATAAACCTAACTCAAATTTATCTGATTGATGAAATGTGCCCATTACTTTAGCACCATATTTCCAAGCACTTTACCATAAATATAGTTTCTAGTCATAAATATACACATAAAGTATAAATTTGTAGTTTCAAATTTAACAGTATGTTGTTGTAAAAATTTTATTTTTAAACTTTAGAAGTTAAAAATGCAAATAATTTCGAATAATTATTAACTCATTACGGTCATTAAATGATATCGGATATATGCTATTAACACAATCAGTAATTATAAGTATTACGTCAGCAACGTAAATAACATATTCCTCGAATCTAAAATTTATTCAGTTGCACATTTGAGGTATGACGAAGAAATCATAATTCTGTGAATATTTTACTATATCTTTAAACACAGACGTGAGTATAATAACCGCGTCACAAACATGAAAAATTCATTATTGGAAATGCACAGATTTGTATCGCTGATAACGATCTGTATTTATATATGTATATGTCTTTACAGAACTTTTTCGTGAAATACGAGTATAATTCAAGTCAAAATATCATATAAAATTAAGAAATTGTGGATCTAATCGAGTTTCATACTATATTAGCTACAATGTAAAGTTCAATTCACAATAGCGCTACAATTCAATAAATTTGCTCGTCTAACATCGATACAATATTGTTTACGTTTAGACTCACAATGGCGTCTACTTTTTCCGAACAGAAAATGTAGAAGAAGCTTTCATCCTGCGAACGACAGTTTAACTTCTATCAAAATCATATTCTTTTCGAACAACGATAAAAAATCATGATCTTTGTAACTATGGAGTATCATGATCACGTGTCCTTTATCATGTTCTATAGAATCTGCATATTTTTCTGGAGGTTTCCACGAAATGACCGATTTCATTGCAGATAGAATTACATGACAAAGTCTCGAAGCGTGTATGTTCGCGGGCATATAAATTTTAGCGTAGTTTCAAGTATCAATCGAAAGAGCAATTCTTTTCGATATTGTACTGCTCCCGTAGAGAACATCTCCCAGAATTAAACATGTATCAATGTAATCATTTTCGATGACAATATGATAGCAATTATTGCAAGTAAAATGAGGTTGCCAAGAGTAGTATCATGTATATTACAATTAACAGGGTTCTTCTCGGTTCGCACTCTAGGCGTAGGAGGCTGAGCCAATCGTACGTGGCACACTATGAGACTCAGCTGCTATCTGACATCCGATTGGATGCACTGCACCGCGGGCTTACGTACCTCTCGGGATTTAATTTCTAGGGGGTAGGGACAAGGGAGTCGTGACTTGGGAGAGCGTCCACTGCCATCGAAGTACAAGGAAACGGATAGTGCTAGCTCTCGCTTCTCGTAAAATTTTTCCTTTGAGAGGTATGTAAATCCGTTTAAATTGTACCTCAACTTCGGTCATGTGCGATTACCAGTAACGGCGGGTACACGTGCAGTGCAACGTATATTGAGAAGTGTGAAAAGTGCCGGAAAACTGAAGTTTTCACGTCTGAACGCAACGTACTGTCGTATTGCCTCCATTTTGCAATTGACGTTCGTGGAGGGAATCGTTCACGAACCTTTCTCGCGGGTGACGCTTTTGACTTGTTGGCGGCGAGTGTCATTCATTCAATTTCGTTTAACGGACGACAATTTCATTCGTTGAGAAAACGATCGAGAGATGGAGGGATTATTGCTAGTTAGGATGATACATTTTTTCTCGTTAGCATGGCTTTTATTCGCGTCGGTGCAGGAAGAACGAAAGTTTGTGCATTGCGCAATGCGCAGCGTTCCTCGGTGCGCGGTTCCTCCGCACGAACAGCAACGGAACGTACCCCCACCCTTGTCGCCCCACCATCTTTTCTTTCCCACTCCACTAAAGCTTCGTTTACTCTAGATATCAGATATACCCTTCAAAATAGTTTTTCCCGCGTTCCACAGTTCAGGTGTTGGGAGACATTCACGTGTGATGTTCAAAATGAGTTAATTAAGTGATTTTTTCAATATTAATATATATATACATGTACATGTTATGCCCAATTTTTCAAAACTGAATGTATTCGTTAACATTTTCAATTAAGGAGGAATTTGTTTAATTAAAATAACACAAATTTTTTACTAATTAAATTTTTTTTTTTTTTAGGGTGAACAATGGCACGTACCAAGCAGACGGCTCGTAAATCAACTGGAGGTAAAGCACCTCGTAAACAGCTTGCCACAAAGGCAGCACGTAAGAGTGCACCTTCTACTGGTGGTGTGAAAAAACCACATAGATACAGGTAAGTTTTTAATATAGTATACATGTAAACACGTGTTATTGAAGTATATGCAATACTATGTATAATAAGTATAATGTAATTTTTAGGCCTGGTACAGTAGCTCTTCGAGAAATCAGAAGATACCAGAAATCAACTGAGTTGTTGATTAGAAAATTACCGTTTCAAAGATTGGTTCGTGAAATCGCGCAAGATTTCAAAACCGATCTTCGTTTCCAGAGCGCTGCTATTGGAGCGTTACAGGAAGCTTCAGAAGCATACCTGGTCGGATTATTTGAAGACACCAACTTGTGTGCTATTCACGCAAAACGTGTAACAATCATGCCGAAGGATATCCAGCTGGCCCGACGAATCCGTGGCGAGCGTGCTTAAATATGTAATTCCCATACATACCATTTACTACTATTATTATTATCATTCGTAACAATCGTGGATGAAACATTTTCATTCCAAACCACATATTATGTTGTACTCCATAACAGTGTACAAGTTATGACATGATCATCCTTTACAATAAGTATTTAGAATTCAGAACTTTCATGAATTGGTATAAATTGGTTTCAAAATACAAGTAGTCTTCATCTTCTGGTATTACTACGAGAACGTAGAGTGCGCGTTATTTCATAAAAGTTTTCAGTTATAAATGTTAATCCTTTAGTTTAATTCTCATTTTTTATCATTCTACACTTTACAGAGTAAGAATACTTATAAAGATGTAAAGCACACCGGAAAGCAAATAATCGTGATAAAAGACAAAACAAATTGTTAATTCTTCTAAAAGTACTTTTAAGATTGAATAAGGTCGAAAATCTTCAGTTTCTCATTACGATTTTATTCTACTTTGCATCATTTTGATATGTGACACATCATTATCATTATTGGTACAACACATAGTGAAATGTGCATTAGAGAGTAAGGCAGTTTCTTTATAGGGATCCAATGTAGTGTTTATTGTGCTAGAATTCTGGTTGTATGAAAATTACATAAGGTATTTCAATCAGTCAAGTACTCATTGTTCGTGTAAAGATAAACGTTTCATAAATAAATCTTCAAAATAATACTAACTCGTCTTTTTCCATCTTACAAGAAATATAAAGTTAGTTAAGTGATTAGGTTCTTTGGGGTTTGAACTTCGCAATAATCGAGAGATTGTTTACAGTATCTTTATTTTACAAACGTTTTATTTACTTTTACAAATTTATATTACAAATATTACGCAAATTTTTCTATCATCTGAATTTCGATCTCTTTCGAAAATTCAACTCACAATCAATTTTCTATTAGCGTGAAATAGTAGCGTGTAATTTCGTTTGAATAATTTTTATATTAAGCGAAATCTATTATGAATTAACAATCTTCATCTGATAGTGCAATTAAATATGTTTAAATTTTAGTTAATAATGTTAGTATGTTTTTTCTACTTTGTGTAAATGTTTCAAAATCTGAAGCTATTTATAATTATGCAGTGGCGGAAAAGCACACAATTTATAGTAGCGTTTCGATAAATGCTCGCGGCGACGAACAAGTAGCGGGGCTGTGGCCCGTATTCCCTTCCAGGAATATAGACAGTCGACATTCAAGACCGCCGATGAAAGAGATGGAAAATGAGAGCGAGCGAAACATCAATTTTCTCGACTGCTGTCGGACGGTGAGACATTACTACGATGTATGAAAAATTAAAAGTTTATAATTGTCATTCAAATTTTGATTGGCAAGATTTTACGTATCTTAAGTATTAACATTATTCAACCTCGAGTGCATCTGATTCTTTACTTAAGAAAAGACAGATATTTTTGAATTTAATAACTTGTAAGACAGAAGAGAGCATTACTAATTCAAAATAGTCCGATTGGGGACATGGTTGGGCTCATATTTTTCAAAAAGATCTTGTCAGTTTATTCAAAAATTCTTTCATTCAGATTAAATAACAATTACGAACATTTTTCGTACATTGTAGTGATAACTCGTCAACTTCAAGCGTCGAGTACAGGTGGATGCGAGGGCCGTTCGCACGAGACTGTTCCACGAAATGGTGAGGTAATTCACCGGCATTTATTGAAATATTTTTGCGAGTATTTAACGACGACACTACTGTACTCTAATAGCTTTGACATATTTTTAAGTATAAAATTGAATTCTTTTACCACACAAGGGAATATCCTTTTGTTATTAAAAAATAGACATATGTATATATAAATATCTAACTTACAACAAAAGCTAAATTTGCACTAACAAGGAGACACCCCACAGCTTGTCTTCTGGATATTTTGAGGAAATTTGGTAGCATGAATCTAGGAGTCATATATTATATAAAATATTTGCACAAGCAACATTTTGAAATTAAGTACAGGAATACTTAAAAGTTTTAACATTAATTGATAATGATTAACAACTTTATACAATTGTATATTTTGTAAAGTTATAAGAATCTTTGAAATATAAAACGAAAGTGAAAAAAAAAAAACATTCGATCTATGACATGAGTCCAGTCTCTCCAGTTAGGAAGTCATTAATTTATGTAGTGAGCCGTCAGTTGATGATCAATATTAAGTTTCTTAAATATTTCTAGAAATATTCTACGGAGTCACTATATGAACGCTAGGTTCATCTATTTCTAGTGTGGCTGAATTTTTTGTCGTGCTAGAACTATACATTGAAAACAGTAGCTTACAACTTATTTACTTAATATCATTTGTCAATATCTACACAATGACATATTTGTAATACTTATCTAGAATTATCACATCCACCTTTATACTTACAATTTCGAATGTTTATTTACAAATCTTAAGTATAATATTAAGTTGTAATAAAAAAAAAGAACAGCAAGTAATTTCCAAAAAGTCGCGAGTTCAAGAAGAAATTATATAATTAATGAAGATAAATAATAATAAATAAGTTGATAGAAATGATTCTTATTTCTATCGTGTAAAACTTGTAATAAATTAGCGTGTGAGATTTAAATTAGAGTAAGAAGAATTAAGAGACATGGAGGAGTGTAGTGCACAAAATTTATTGTTGGAATATTACCCGTTGTTTATAATTGAATGTGGTTGCTGTTGGCAGAGGCAAAACCTCGAACGTGCCGTCTAGTCCTAATTGAAAAATTTAATATTTTTTCGTTACCATTTTAGCACTGAGGAATATGAAATTTACAAAAATCTGAATGCAATAAACACACATGTTTATGCAAATCAGCGTTTCTCAATCATGTTTTGAAGGTATTATATGCAATAGTAGTGTTGTTTTAAGAATTTTATATTCATTACACTCTTCAGACTTTAAATTTGCTACCTGGTTATTACTTTGTTTAATAAATTAAACTGTAGGTAGCTGTGATATCAGAAGCACAATGGAAGATTGAGAAATGCTGTACATGTTTATGAATCGTGCATAAACTGTACAACATGCATGTGAAAGATAATTTTATGATTTACAATTCATGAATCTTGCTTTTCCAAAGTGAATCTTATTTACATTAAATAGTGTAATGTTGATGCATGATCTAAACGAAATAGTGACAAAACACAAGTTCTATATTGTGCAATTTTAATACACATACAAGCAATTTAATACGAAAAATACTATGGACAATTTTATTGTACACACTGTATGAACATTGCTGACAAGAGATACAAAAAACATGACATGTAGATTTCATGCAGGAAAACGTGTTGTAAAAGTAAAAATTAACAATACGTCGTGTAATTAATGTTGAATCCTTTAGTGCCAAGTATGTTTCTTAATCATGTTATAAAACATACATTTACAAAATAAGATTTCAATTCTCAAAAAACATACTCTTTGAGCACAAAAGGTCAACATTCAAATGATGCTAGATTGAGCCATGAATTTTTCTATCAATCACACAATTTCATTGTTAATACCATTGCTCTATATTAATTAATGCCTGTATAAAATGAGATTTGTTTAGTAACAAATTAATGATTACAATTGCCATTACACATTATGCAGCTACTGATCTTATATTTGACAGAAATATTTTAACTTAATTGCACAAACTATTACTTGTAATAGGTATATACAGTATTATATACAGGTGTACCTATTCAATTAAGTGTTTAAATTTTTTATCTCATTACCACGTTTGTGATACATAATATTTAATAACTAATAATAAAATATATTTAGAAAATAA